CGATCTTGGGGGGAGTTGAAGGTGGGTTCGCTTTTTCCGGCCGCTTGACCGGTGTCCGGAGTCCCAAAACCATTTTTCAGGGAGGTCGCGTCAACAATTAATAAAATAGATAAAATTAAAATAAAATGTCGAAATAATAGTCAAAATTTATAATAAAATGTCAATAATAAAATTACCGCAATAGCGGGTTGTATAGAGTAAAAATAGAGAGTGTTCCGTCAAAAATCAAGTTCCGTAGAATCCTACGGCCCTTACTCAACCTAAAACTACTTAAAAACTCTCTAAAATTTAAAAATACTTTATAGAAAAAGTTACAGTTATATATTTACAGTTAGTTTAGTTTTAGTTATATAGTTACAGCTGAAAGCGCTCCTCGAGCCCTATTCAGGGAACCCAAACTCGGCATACCTAGCCCGAAAGGTTCCCAAGTTACAGCGCTTCCAAATTATGGTTTCCAAACAAGATGGCCGCCAAATTTATGGTTAATGCGCTATAACTCCTGAACAGGTGGGCCTAGAGCTCCGTGCTTGGGCTCGTTTTGATGGGCTCGACCAGGGCTATAATATAGTGTAGCTTTCAGGAATTTAATTTTTGGATGCTGAAATTTCCTGAAAGCTGAGTTATCTGTTCCGGCACTACTTGCCGACGTCTGGGGTCCAAACCCCAGTCCTGTACGACTTCTAGTTCGGCAGCTATGGCTTATTTTAGATTTCCAAGATGGCTGCCGAACTGTCAAACTAGATGTTTGATTGCCAATAACTCTGCTTCCAGAAATCGCAGAAGACCAGCGTTTGGACTATACTACTGCCCCTCTCCCGGTCTTTCAGATAGGATCGATTTCAGGACCCTGAAAAACTAGGGCTCAAAAAAGCCCGAGTCTTTGTAGGTGGGTAGAAATCGATCCACTAATAGTACAGTCCAAAACCGTAACTCGCTACGACTTCTACAAACAGAGCTATTAAGTTTTTAAAATTTTCAAAATGGCCGCCGGTCCAGACAACTTATCTCTATCTTGGCCGTCTCTTAATTGATTTGACCCGTGTTTGGGCTCGTTCAAAAGGTCTCGGTGTCGAGATTACGTCTATATTAATCTTTTGGCTTTTTAAGCCCCCCTTTAATTAAATTTTTTACAATTAAATATAAATTTTTTGAAAATTTTGATTTTTAGAGCTAAATTTTGATTTTAAAATTCTACAAAAATTTACATATATTATAATACAGAGCCTTATTTTAAATATCTATTTAAAAGTTTACTACTACTTATTTTAGGGGTAACACATGTTAACTAAAATATTGAAAAATTTATAACTAAAAAACTACTCACTAGAAAAATCCAAAATTTTGTTCGTATATTCCTTATGTACTTCTTAACACTATTTTAAAATAATAACTGGGGGTCTTCACTTTAGTTTTTAAGTTATTTAAATGGATTTAAATGGAGTCCGGTGTCAACTGCCGTCCCGAACGCCACGTTTCTGTGTTGCTCCGTGCTCTAAAAATCGCAAAAATAGGTTTTTCGCAACCGATTTTGGTGAATGAGGTACCAAAAGTTGCGCCTTGACTCGCGGCGTAAAATAGTGAAGTTTTCAGGAAAATCGGAGTGTTTGTGAAAAAGTTATAGTGCAATAAGTGATTTTCAAAAATTTTCAAATTTTCAAAGTAAAACGCTGCGCGATTAAGCGCTATTACCTATACTTTTTTAAAGTGCGGCCTTCAAGCTATTCGCGGCCCCCACCTACGTGTAAAATTTGAGATTTCTCGGAGCCATAGTCTAATGGCTATGGCTAAAGCCAAAAAAACAAGTGCCACGTGGGCACGTGTTTTGAGAAGCAAAAGCGTGCGGCTGTTCTTGAAGGCGGATTCTGGTAGTACGCGTGGAGAGCAGCCGGGAGCAAGTTTCAGGACAATTTTACGATAAGTGGTTTAAGAGATAATGACTTTATTAAATTTAGAAAAAATTGACATTTAAATAACTTAAAAACTAAAGTGAAGGTTAGGTTAGGTTAGGTTTTTTTTTGTTTAGAGACTGTTAAGTTTTCTTACATAATGCATTATGCTATCGGGATACAAGTTGCATTATGGAGATTGGATCTCTTTAAAACTATGTCTGTTAAATCGTATGGCTTTATTTTTAAGTTATTGCAGATAATTTCATGGTCTATTCTAGTGTTGTTAAATTTTGGGCATTCTTTAATGAGATGGATAACAGTTTGGGATGTGCTTCCGTCACACGGGCAATAATCATTTGGGCTTATTTTGAACCTATATAGGTAGCATTTGTGAAACCCGTGATTACTTAGAATTTGCGTAAAATTAAAGTCAGGTTTGATTTTTTCTAAAACTTTGTGGAGTTCTTCGTATGTAGGGCACCACGTTTTGGTATATGTGCAGTTAACTATGTTATTGTAATAATCTTCACTCGCAGTTTGTAAAATCTTACGATGTATTTGTTTTATGTAGCTGATAGGAAATTTGGAATAATCGGGGGCTTTCTTTAAGTTCGTTGCTGATTTGGCTGCCGAGTCCGCTAATTCATTCCCGGTTACACCATTATGGGCTTTCGTCCAGATGAATCTTACTGATTTATTTCTTGTTTCTATATTAGTAACGTTGCGGTGTATTGCTACTGCTAATGGGTTCGTGGTGTTTGGGTTATTTAACTCTAAGAGGCTTGACTTGCTATCGGAAAATATTGAAAATTTTATAAGTTTACTGTTCAGAATCCATTCACTTGCTTTTAAAATTGCAAAAAGTTCAGCTTGGTATACAGAACAAGCGTCATGCAGTTTATATTTCTTAACGACGTTTTGACCATCAAGGTGAATGACAACAAAAGCAGCTCCTACACCTTTATCAGTCTTGCTTCCATCTGTAAATATACTTGATGTTGCTGTATCGGAGTATTGATTTATATCCTGTTGGTTTGAAGCTTCCTGAAATTGGATTGTTTTTCTTTGGCAAGGGTGTAGAAGTTCTGCAGGTATCACTGGTGTTTCGAGTTCTATATCTTTAGGAAGATATATGGAGGTTTTACATCGCTTCGTTATTTCTAAATCTGCACACGTTTTTATTTTAGCTTGTAATGAATAAAGTTTTGCCAGAGAGATTGCAGTTGCCGTGCTTGTTGTTCGAAATCCTCTTATGATTTTAATGGCGAAATTGCGTTGGAGAGAAAGTAACCGTTTTTCTATATACTTATATTTTAGAGCAGAACTCCAAATACTTGATGCATAGCAAACAATAGGTTCTATTACTGCAAGATATATGGTATGCACATTTTCTGAATTTACTCCCCAAGTAGGTTTTATATATTTGACTAATTTTTGAAATAGATTGTACGATTTGTGTATTGTATGTTCTGCATGCTTTATGAAATTTAATTTTTGGTCTATAATGACCCCTAAATACTTTATTTGGCGGAAGAATTGCAATGGTAGACTGTTCATAACTATTTCACATTTGCGAGCTTTATTGGTAAATGATATCATTTGGGTTTTATTAGGATTAAATCTTAGTTTGACTGAGTTTCCCCACGATACAATTTTGGAAAGAGCTTCGTTAGTTGTAGTTTCAAGATTTTGGGTATCTTTTGAAGACACTATTAATAAGAGATCATCTGCGAAGGCTTGGAGATGGCATCCATTGGGTAGCTCAGATGTTAAGAGCTCATCAAGTATCAGGTTCCATAGCATTGGACCGCAAACTGAACCCTGAACGCATCCCCGAGACATATACTTGGTAGCTGAACTATCCGCAAAATCAAGTTTGACTACACGGTGTTGGAAGTAATTTTTAAGAAGATTATATAAGTTGCTAGGACATTTAATAGTGTGAAGCCTATGAAACAGTGCTGGCCACCAGGCATTGTCAAAAGCCGCCTGTATATCGAGTGAGATTGCCAAAACTTGATGATTTTGCAATCTAGCATTTTGTATAACGTCAAGTGCTTTTTGGATAGCAGCCGTTGTTGAAGTTTGCTCTTTGAAACCGAATTGTAAATTACTAGTTGCATTAGTTGTGTGTAAGAAATATGTAAGTCTTTTAGTAATTAATTTTTCTAAAGCCTTTCCAAATACATTAATGAGTCCTATCGGTCTATATGAAGCGGTATTAAGTTCGGTTTGATTGTGTTTTGGGATAATTATTATATATGCGACCTTCCAGTCCTTTGGAAAGTGGCCGAGTTGCAGGCATCTGTTCATTATTTGAGTGATTGTAATAGGGAAAGTTTCAGCAAATTTAAAACATATATCCGATGTGAGGTGGTCTAGACCAGGTGATTTTTTGGGGTTCATGGATTTCAATGACTCAAGTACTTCTTCTACAGGAAATGGAGCATGTGCTGGCGTGTCGGGTGTTTCGTTAAAAGAATTACGGAGCTGCATGTGCCTTAAGCATGTATCGGGTCCATCATCAGGAAAATATTCATTTAAAAACGTTTCAGCAGTTTCGTATGTTGTTTTTGTGTATTTACCCGCTCTTGTTTTAAGAGTTGAGGGAGGCTGCTTCAAAGGTGTGGTCTTAAGTAACCGATTGGTTATACTCCATACATCCTCCTTTCCCTGCTTATTGCAGAACCTCCCTGAAATGCTCAGTTGAAGCAATTCTAATTGCTTGAGCATATTCATTTCTTAAGTTTTCTTTTTCTAGCAACAATTCGGTTAACGGTTTTTTACTGCGTTTCATTTGTTGAATTTTGTGGTGATTTTTTATAGCTTTGGTTAGGTTAGGTTAGGTTAGGTTAGGTTAGGTTAGGTTAGGTTAGGTTAGGTTAGGTTAGGTTAGGTTAGGTTAGGTTAGGTTAGGTTAGGGTAGGGTTTTTTTTTTAATATACGTTGGTTCGCTTGCGGGACTGATACGCATAAGAAATTCGCTACATGATCGGCCAGAATTGCGAATGGGATACAATTCCTTTTGCCTAGCATGTTTCAGTTTAAGTCTATAACTTTTGTGATTCACAATTTCAATTAGAACTCATTTATTTAAAAAAAATGTTTTTACTATATACTGTTGAATGATTTCAGTTTATCGATTATGTAACTAGCATACTTCACAAACGATATTATTGCACTTTCTTTTGTTACAAGCTCCTGTATGTTGTACGGAGAGACTTTAAGCATCTGACAGTGTAATTCATGTTCCATGCGCTGTGCACCAAATCTGGGACAGCATTTCAAAAGGTGGTCAATATTTTGTACACTATGGTTATTGCAAGGGCATGTGTCTGTGTTTGAAATCTTAAATCTATATAAATATTCTCTGTGGAAACCATGACCTGTGAGAATTTGGGTTAATTTAAAGTCAATTTTTGTTGTTTTCCAAAGTCGTTTAATGGAAAACAGGTCCGGTAAGAGCTGTTTTGTATGTTTCCCTTGTGGTGCACTGTGATATCGGTTTTGCCATTTATAGAGATTGTCTTTTTTTATTTTTGCTTTAACAAAGCTTATGGGAAATTTTGTATAATCAAAATTTTTCTTTAAGTTGGCTGCGCATTTTGCAGCTGCATCAGCTGCTTCATTTCCGGCAGAGCCTGCATGACCTTTTACCCATGTTATATCGACTGTTCCATCTTCTCTTATTTTCTTAATGTTTTGATGAATATTTGCAACTATTGGGTGAGTATTACTGCGGTTACATATTGATTGAATTGATCTATCAATATGTAACCGCATTCTGACTATCTGTGAAAATTTTTATATTTTTGATATTTCCCTTCAAAGACCACGTACAAGCTCTATCGATGGCAAAAAGCTCTGCCTGAAATACAGTGCAGCTATCATGTAATTTAAATTTTTTGGTTATTGCATTTTTATTTTTCGATAGAACTACAAAAGAGGCGCCCACTCTTCCGTTCTCCAATTTACTTCCGTCTGTGTATATATTAATTGGTTGTGTAAAATTGTTTGGGCTTTCTTCTGAAGTTTGTAAACTGTCTGGCACTATTTTAACTCTGAGAGCTGGATGTAGAAGATTTTGAATCGGTGTAGGCTTTTCAAGGGTTATATCATCGGGTAGATATTGGGTGATTCCGGAAATTCTAGTGTTTTCTATTTGATTTATTTCTGTAACTTTTAAGTCTAAAGGCATGAACTGGGCAAGTGCTAGCGCAGCAGTCGTAGAGACTGTACGGAAGCCTCGGATGGCTTTGAGCGCAAACAAGCGTTGTGTTTTTTCCAACAATCGCTTGCAACTCTTTTTCTTTGCAGCATGGCCCCAAACACCAGCAGCGTATGTGATAATAGGTTCGATAACTTGGTGATAAATAATGCTTATATTTTCAGGTTGAATACCCCAGGTTGGTCTGCAGTAAATACACAGTTTGTGAAATATTTTTATGGATTTATTTGTAACATGTTTAATGTGACTGTTGAAAGTTAATTTTGTATCTACGATGACCCCTAATACTCGTAATTTTATTTCTTTAACAAACGGAAGCAACATTTTGTTCATCACTAAATTAACTGACTTGGCTTTTGGGGTGAAAGCGATTGCCTGTGTCTTTTCAGGGCTAAAAGAGAGTTTGACTTTACCTCCCCATTGTACAATTTCGCTTAGTGCTTTATTAGTAATAACTTCTAATTCGTTTTTATCGTGTGCGTGTGCAATAAGCAATACATCGTCCGCAAAGGCTTGGATGTGACAACCTGTTGGCAACTGAGTTTCCAAAAGTTCGTCGAGAATTAGATTCCAAAGAGTTGGTCCACAAGTTGTACCCTGTATACATCCCTTGGACATCATTTTGGTGACCTCAGTACCTCCGTAGTTCAGTGATACTTTCCTATTTTCTATATAATTACATATTAATCCGAAGATGTTACGAAAGCACTGAATGTATCGGAGTCTGTGAAGTAAGGCGGGCCACCAAGCGTTATCAAACGCTGCCTTGATATCCAAGGAGATGGCTATTACCTGTTGTTTGTTCTCTTTAGCTTTTTGGATGTTTTTTATGGCATTAGCAATAGCTGCAGTTGTGTTAAGTTGCTCTTTGAAACCAAACTGTCGGTTGCTCATTCTGCCATCTCGTGTAGCCTGGTATTTGATTCTATTTATGAAAAGTTTTTCAAGTAATTTGCCAAACACGGGAAGAAGACCTATTGGGCGGAAAGAGTTTAAATTAGTACAATCAGATTTATTGGGTTTCGGAATGATTTTAACGTATGCGATTTTCCACTGTTGTGGAAAATATTGGAGGGACAAGCATCTGTTCATTATTTCTGTTATAAGTTTTGGATAAGCTATAGAAAACTGAGTGCAAATATCGGCTGTTAGATTATCGATACCAGGAGCTCGTTTGGGATTCATGTTTTGGATGCATTCTATAACTTCTTCTTTAACAAAGGGAGGGTCGTCATTTGTTTTTGGAAATAGTTCGCGATTTTTCCTGAGTTGTTCATGTGCGGGATTAGAGTCTGGACTGTCTTCAGGGTAGAAATGATTTAGTAGTGCCTTTGCGGTTTCTTTTTCATCATTAGTATAGTTGTTTCCTACTTTTAGAGTACTCGGTGAGCAATTAGACTTTGTCTCCTTTAAAAGTCTGTTGGTAACTGACCAAACATTCTCCTTACCTTGCCGTTCACAGAATTCTCTAAAGTTATCTGTTGATGTTCTCCGCAGCTCATCCCCGTACTCTTTCTTTTTTCTATTTCTTTCTTCTAACAGTTGGTCCAGGGCAAGCCCTTTGCGTTTGGTATGATGAATTTTATGATGGAGGGAGATAACATCTTTTTTTCAGTTTTTCCAATTTGTCTGTCCACCATATGGGTTTACATTGGGTGCCGTTGTTCTTCATTGGCATGGATGCTCGACAAGCTTCGTGGATTGTACTGATAATTTTTGTAATAAAGGATTCTAATTCGTTGGTATTTAATGTGGGAATATCTACGTCTAGGCATCCGTTATTGCACATTTTGAGGTCTAAGACTGCCTTAGACTCTGCCCAGTTAGCTTTTTCACTTTTATACAGATATGTGGATGTGTTTTTTCTTTTTGTGGTGTTAACGTTAAATAGGTTGAGCGTAAATTCAATAGAATTATGTTGAGACGAGGGACAAGCCTCCAGGTTAACATTCCAGCTATTTATTTTCTCGTATATAGACCCTGAGGCAAAAGTTATGTCGATAATAGAGGAGCAATTTCTACCATGTGTGACGGTTTCAAACGTTGGGATGCTTCCTTGGTTGCAAATATACATATCATTTCCTATTATAAGTTCCGCCACTTCGCGACCTCTTTTGTTAGTTGTTTCACAACCCCATAGTGGGTGCCAACCATTAAAATCGCCACATATTATACGATGAGAGTCATTGGTTGATTTAAGGAAGGCGTCTAAGCGCTCAAGTGTTGCGTGTTCATCGTCTCGGGGCTCAACGTATGCTGATGCAATATATAATTTCCTTGTGCCTATTGTCATTTGGACAACGCAGAGGTTAGAAGTTGAAAACTGTGTCATACCTATTAACGTTCCACAATTATTTTTAGCTATTATGCAAGCTTTGACTTTTTGGTCACCTGGGAATTGATATATGCAAAGGCCTTGTATTGATTTCATTTCTTGTTTGGTTCCTAAATATGGTTCTGAGACTATTGCTATAGAGTAATCGTTTGCAGCAAAGTATCGTAAAAATTCTTGTTGGCAGCTTTTGGATCGGTCTATGTTACACTGAATTATTTTCATTTTATTTGTTTGATCCATAGTCGATTCGCTGGTTTATACGCTCTTTCATGCCTTTGACTCTAGGACAGGAAAAGGAAGTTGCTGCATGTTGTGTGTCAAATTTGGTATTGAACTTATTATTATGCATTTGGCAGTTGTAGCACGTAGTAGCCGATTTATTCGCCTTATTTGGACAGTTTGTGTATGTGTGATTTCCTGCTGCACAGTGCGAGCAGGGATGGATATTATTGGTGCACTTGCCTTGAACGTGTCCAAACTGAAGACAGCTAAAGCACTGAATGAATGGGCAAAAATTTTCGACATGTATACGTTGATGATCAACGTTTATTCTTCCGGAATCCATTATTTTGCGCCATATCGTAGGATTGCATAAGAAAACTGCGTTATATAATTTAGGGTTTTTGTTTTTCCTCTTAAAACGTAAGCAAAGAGCGTCGTCCGTATTATTTATGAGGTCCCGTAATTCGTCGTTTTGCCCTGTGATGATACTGACTAACTCTTCTGATGGGACGTCATTTGATAAGCCCTTTAAGATGACCATAGGGTTAATTTTGCGCGCGGCTTCAGCGTTAACTGTCGTAGCAGATTTCAAACGTTCTAAAGCGTCGTCCCTCTGGGAGCATGTATCAAATTCTACTCGGAGTTTATTATTTGATATGACTTGCAATTTGGAGGGTGCATAATTACAACTCTTAAAACAGATACTCTTGCGCCATGACTCGATAACTTCTTGTCGCGAATTAACTTTATTAGTAGGAGTGACAATAATAGCCGGTTTTGATGCATGTGTGGGTGCTGGATTGCTCGGCGGAGGACGAGGGGTAGAAGCAACACTCGCATAGGATTTGGTTTGAGTGCGTATCGAGAGTTTGGAAATCTCTTCCTTAATAGTATTTTGCAGCGACTCTTTAACCTCTATAATACTTGCCGTATATTCAGTTTTTATTTGTGTTTCTCTTATGATTCTGTTAATGTCATGCGCCATTTCTATAATCGCTTTTTTGCTGTCTGATGTCACACTTCTGCCAGCCGATATGGTTGTGATTATGTTATTCGCTATAGTGGTTATTGAATTAAGGCCTTCGAGTATGCTTGCAGAAGTAGGCATCCTATGATAGGGTGAATTTTCATTTGCGATGCCACCAGTTTCAGTACCTGTGCACGCCATTTTATTTAAACTTTGCCTCCTAAATGATCAACTAACAAAACTAACGGTAATAAAGAGAAACAAGTATGATTTTAAAATGCAGTAGCAAATTCTACTTCTGCAATGAAAACCGGAAGGGTGGGGAGTCGATGTTTGTCTAAGCTTATTGTTTTTATTTACGGGTTTAAGAAAAAAAAAATAAAATAAAATAGATATAAATTAAATAAAAAAAAATCGATGTACATAAAAAATCGATATAAATAAAAAATCGATATAGATTCCTGCAAGCCTACTTAAGTAAGAAAAACAGGGAGGGTGAGAGGGCGATTTTTTCGAGTTCTGTATTGTTTATAAAGCAAATAAGGGTGCAGATGGTAGTTTCTACACAGTATGGACCTAATAAAAGCAAAAAGAGCGAAAGAAATGAAGATTTGAAAAATTTTAAAAATTTTAGGAAATTACGAGTATAGGAAAACGAATTTTGTGAAAATCAATATTTTAGCGATAGAAATTCACTATAAAAACTATAGATAAATACGGGGGGCGGTTGAATACACTATTTAAAAAGAAAATTTAAACGGAAAAGGCCACTTTTCAGCCGAGTTATAGATGAATACGTGTTTTTATTAATGAATTTACGTAATTAAGAGACGGAAAATATGAAAATTATATATATAACGTTAGGAATTTACCAAGAAAATTATATAGGAATACGGGGGGTAGTTAGTTACACTATTTAAATAGAAAATTTAAGAGGAAAAGGCCAATTTTCAGCCAAGCTATGGATGAATACGTGTTTTTATTGTTGAATTTAAGTAAATAATAGACTGAAAATATGAAAATTAAATATATAACGCTAAGAATTTACTAAGAAAACTATAATCAAATATGGGGAGCAATTAACTACACAATTTAAAGAAGATTTGAACGAAAAATACCAATTTTTAGAAAAGTT